CAATAACACAGCAGGGAGGAATCTTGGCTTTGGAGCTAGCCAGCCCTAGATCTGTTCAGCTACTTATTTGCCAGGGACACCTTGGGCAAGTGATTCAATCCTTCCTCGTCCTCACTTTAAGCATTAAGGAAAAAAAGAAAAAAATGGTAACTTTTCCTTGTAGAATAGTGATAATTAAATGAGTTTATTCTAAATCACTTAGCAATGGTTGATACATGACTACTCATTAATGTTAGCTCATGCTGCTGATGGTATATCAATTATTTTAAAGAGTCATAAACAAACTTAAATAATACATGAGGATCTTAAAGCTAGCTAAAAAGAAATCTCAAATGCAATTGTTTATCTTACAGAGTTGTGCTATGTCTTCAGATACAGTGTAATAGATATTACTTAAATATCAAGCCTTGGAAAATATGTATCAGAGTGTCATAAATTTGAACATTTCCATTCTGTTTCTTGAATAAAAGCAGGATAGAATTCCAGTCCTTTGGAAAATTTGTCTCAGGGACAGTGGAACCTTGCTTGGCACACTGAGCAAGTTTCCATTAGTTAAATGCAAGAAGGATGATTTCATTTTAAGAGTGAAATGTGGAAAGTGTTTAGATGGGGAGGGTGCAACGCATCATACCAGTCTTTTTTAAAAACCATAAAACAAGCAGGACGAGTGAGAAGTAAGACTTACAATTCAAAGCACTCATGGACATTATTTTGTGTTGTACGTTTAAAAATCCATCATCTATACAGAGAAATAAGATGAGTATGCATTCCACACATACCCCTCTACCCTCAGCAGCTAAGATTCAAAGGTGGCCTCGTGTACCCGACAGCCAAAGGCTAGTGCTTTCAATTCTGCCACACCAGTCATCCATTCTTCTTTTGTGATGGCTTTGAAATGCACTAGGCCAGTGGTTCTCAGTGTGTACCCTGGACCAACAGCAGCAGTCTTGAAAACTTGAAAACTCTTGGGTCCCAGACTGACTGCATCAGAACCCCTGGAGGGCGGTGGATCCCACCAATGGTGAACGGTCCCTCCAGGTGATCCTGATGCTGGGGCACGGACATACACCTGTACCCTTCATTTGGAGCTATCCGAGGGCAGCTCTGGAAGTCATTAGGCCTCTTTGTGGACAGGTAAAAAAATTCTTCAACAGGCTCTCACCTGTGTGACACAGAGCATGGATTCGGCCTCTCTTACTAAGACTTGATTCTTTGATATTCATATTACTGGAATAATTGCTAATGGTAAGCAGAGTCTAGGAAGCAGGACTTTGTGACTCTCAGGCACCCAAAGGTGGGATTACACAGGAAAACCTAACCCCAGACCCACACATTTCCTTTATCATCACCTAGAATGGGGCCAAAGAAAACTTGGCTCAAAATCCTACACTTTAATCGACTTGGCCTTGATAGGAAGAATTATTAATCTACAATGGGAAGCAGTAACAATATAAAGGGTAGAGAAATTCAGCTGATTTAGGAAAGCCCCTGACATTTTTAAAAAATTTTCATTTTGCTAAGCCAAAGAATCACAGAATTGTATAACAAAATCCCACCAGCTATATGTGAAAAACAAAAATGTTTCAGGGAATCCTATTCAGATGTTTTGTAAGACATCACATTTCTTAATGCTAAAAACTTAAGAAAGAAATAAGCATTCTAGATCCCCCCAACTTGAATAGTCACATAAAAGAATTTATAAGCAAGAATGCCTTAAATGACTTTTGTTGTCATTTTTAAAGGACCAAGAATGAAAGCGTATTTTAATACTCTGTTGCTTCTATAATGCTGACAGTTTTATTTTTACAATTCAAATGTATTCTCCAGCAGAACGCCTTACTCATTTTTCAGGGGAAAGAAAGAAAATTCAACATGCATAAATTTGAAGTCTTGTGCTTTCTTACAAATAAGATTTTTCAAAAAGAAGGATTATGTGGTTTCTATTGTTTATATAATTAAGATAATTTAAGGAAAGCAGGAGCCATTGATAAATCCATGTGAAACCATCTATTGCAAAAGTTGTACCTGGTTCTAATTTTTGCAAGAAAACTCGCGCATGTCTGGACAGTAGGGGTTGGAGGGTGTGGTACAGAGAGGTAAAACTGGTACTTTTTCATCTTAAATCCCTGGGTCCTATTCAAATTTGCTTTTGTACCTGCTTTGAATACGTTTTTAAACTTCACTAGAAATAAACTTAAAAATAGTAAGTCCAGATCATTGGGTGACTAACCTTTAGTAGCCATTATACTGGGCATCTCTGTACAACTGTTTAAGTAGCAGTTTCTGCTAACTTCTACAATGTGCGTGCTCTGTCACCTGGTGACAACGAATGCTCGTCCGGTATGGCTCAGTCACACTGCAAATGAAGAAACCGAGGCTGCCCAGAGAGGGTTGGGGATTCTCTCATACCATTGAACTTACAGGCAAAGCTCCCTCTGTTCTTTGCTTTCCTAGCTGATGTTTTTGTGAAACCCCCACCATGCTGCTTGCCACACACCCCGAGACAGCTCTTGCATGCTCAATGAAGGATATGAATCCTACTTGTAAGCTTTCTACGGTTTCACAAACACAGGGCAATCAGAATGGAAGCCCAACACCATCATCAAACCCCACACGACAAGTCTGTGAGAAGATGTGTACGGCAGCAGGGATGGAAGTGGATCGGGGACTCCGGAGTTTTCTGCCTGAAGTTGACTCCTCCTGAGGCAGAAGAACTAAAAGATAGGTAGAAAGGAGATGAGGGAATTATAACTCAAAAAACTGTACAGTGGACCCTTGACTTACGAACTCAATTCGTTCATGAGGGCTGGTCGTAACTCAAGTTGGTCAACTGAAGGCTCAGGCTCCTCTGCACAGCCTTCAGAGTCTCTCTCCTGTACACGGGCAGATCTCAGTGTCCTCAGAGAGACACTGGCCTGGGATCTCTCAGTTAACCCCACACAGGAAAGGATGCTGTCATGCTCCTTCCAGAACTCTTTAGGATTAAATATGTATCTGAGACCATCTGGAAGCACATGTGGCCAGCATTCAGGTCGTAACTCAAAGCTTTGTTCATAAGTTAAAACTAAAATTCCAGTCATAACCCAAGTTGTTTGTATGTCATTATGATCGTAACTCAAGGGTCCACTGTACTTTTAAGAAGACTGCAACTTCCAGGACCCAGCCGAAGCCACCCAAGGTGACCATATCCACCTTCCCTTGGTTAAATGTAGGCTCCTTTCCTTCCAGAGAATCACACCCAAGATTCCTCAGGAATACGGGGAATCCTTAAATGCTTTAACTAAGAAAGTAAAGAGCAGGAACCTGATCCAAAGGTAAAGAACAGGTTGAGAGAATTCACAGAATGCTTAAATTATCCACTAAAAAACAAAACGAAAAAAATTGGGTTCATACCTGTAAAATGGGCCCGTACCCTTCTGGGGGTGGACCACCTTTTCCTGGGGTTTCTACCCCCTCGAGAGAAGCATAAATGTTCCCCATTCCAGGACATTATTTGTCTCCCTCTCCCTTTCCCTCCCACTCTCTCCTCTTGAGGGCCCACACTCCAGTTCTTTGAGTGTGTACTTTTAAATTTCTATCTCATAAGCCCTTCCTGAGCCTCTTAACTGATACATCCTGAGAATTCTTTTTCTGCAGCAACGCAGTCAGTGAACTTATCTCAGCTCCTGGAACCTCCTCACACCCCGTCTAGCGACACTCCAATTGTTAACTTCGTGACCGGCTGCATGTAGGACCCTCCCCTCATCTGTGACACGGTCGGCGACTGAAAACATCTAGCTGCCCAAAGTTGTGAGGACTGCATGAAGTGATTTATGTCAAGTATACAGCAGTCGAAGGCCTAGTACATAGTAAATGCCCAATAAAAGTTAGCTATTCTCAATCAAAACTGACATTAATAAACTAGATGCAATTTAGAACTTGCCTTACTAATTTCAACAACAATTATAACTATGGTGTGTGCTTCAAAGTTTGACTGCAAGTGCACTTCTTTGGGAAGTTAGTAACCTTAGACACTAAGAAGCTAAGATGCCCCGAAGGCAAAGAACTGGGGGAGACCTTTGACTGCAGTATCTGAAAACAAATGTGCATGAAAACACAATGGAATGTAAAAATTTCCTAAACAAAAGTTATATTTTGTTTTTAACTTAGCCCAAATCTCCAATAAGAGTCTGAAACCTTCCCGTGGTTTGCTCTCAAATTTCCTGATGGGACAAAGGACTTCTGACTGTTTTCCCCAGCTGCCCACAATGACCACTGGTTCTAATGGGTCCTTCCCAGGCCCAGCGCTGTGTAAACCCCTTCCCGGGCCCCCACGAGAGCCCCTCTTTTCTCCTTCCTGTTGGCAGAAAGGCCCTTCCTCTGGGCTAGCAGTGCAAAACAACCCTGTGACTAATTTCTGTTCAACTCCGAACAAGGTAGTTTTCCAATCTTCAGCAAAGAAGTCAAATCCCTATGACCTCCTTAGCAAAAACATTCTTTGAAGGCACAAACAGAATGAGCAATAACTGACAATTTAAACATACCTGAAATACTTCGCCACACATACTTTCCAGCATCTTATAACACCACCGAACTTCAAAGAGCATACCATCCCTGCCTACCAGCTTAAGTGGAAATTAAAATATCTAAGCTCATTGTCAAGGCATCAGAGATGTTTGGAAAAGCTTACCAGACTCAGTAACAACAACCCCTTTAGAGCTCACCTGTAACTCCTTGGGACTAGGAGACTTCCGGCTTGAGGCTGGTGCTTGCCACTGTGTGGTTAAGCGGTAAATCAGAAGCACAGCTTTGGATTTGGAAACAATTAAGGAAGGGCGCGAGGCTTGCCCTTGCTGTTACCAACAAGGGGCGAGGAGAAAGTTTGCAGCCCATTGGCTGCATAGTTAGACCGAGCACGCGGTGAGTCCCGCAATTGGGACGGTGGGTTCTGGTGTGTGCCTGCGTTTGTTTCTCCTCTGCTGTGGTTCCTTCTCCAAATCGGGTCTGCTGAAGAGGAGAGATAAAGTGGGTGAAGCTGGGGATGGAGTCCTTGGAGCTGGGTTTTAACTCCTCCACTCTGGTCTGCTTTCTTAAGGAGTCTGACCAAGTTCCTTGCTGATTCAACGCTTTACTCCTAGAGACCATCTGCTTTCCTAGCTAGATTTTAGAGGAAGTAAAGATGCAGTCGAATTGGCAAACTCCTCCTTGAGGCCTTTAAGGGAGGGAGCTGGGGTCTTTCACAGTTCAGGGATTTCCTAGGCACTGTTACCTATCATGTTGGGCTAAGTGTTCTGACTTTTAGGGGGTACTGGGGCCGTGACGGTGGGCTACACATGGGACCAGGACTCCATGTCCAGCCAGACATCCTGGGGTGGTAGATCTGGTTGGAAGATTAGCGCAGACTTTCTACCCTGGGCCAAGAATGTTGTTCTCTTCATCTGAGAACACCTCACCCCTCCTCCCTGTGAGCCCCCAACCCAGAAACGGAAGGCTACCCATCCGTTTGCAGGATCTTCCACCCTTCTGATCTCGGGGACTAATTCACAGGCAGAATGGATGCCAGGTGTGCAACAACAACCCCTATTTTTCTATCTCCTCTACCTGCCTCCAATCCCACAATACACTTGGTATCCCTGCACTGAACAGAGTGCCCTGGTGGTGGGGGACCCTGTTCCCAGCCTAGATGGAGCCCCATCCACATCATCATGACCCAAGCCTCTGTTCTATGCGACACAGCAGGAAGGAAATCTGGAAACCCCCACAAGCCACACCACTGGTAAGAGACCAGATATATATATATATGAGACTCAGGACAAACAGCTGCTTTCCAGGGGTTTAGAACTTGCTGATTTCTTGCCAGAATCCCAGATAGAAAATTAAAGGTCATTGGTCCTTCACAAAAAATGGCTCCACATAGGAAAAAAACCTATATTGGAATTGGAGTCAGAAGATATGGGTCTGAATAGTGAGGATGTGTCTTTTTAGCTGGTTATTTTAAACAAAACACATCTTGTCTCTGATCTGAAACGTGGTCCCGTGTAAAATGGAAAGCAGAATGCCCATGGTGCTGTTAGGCGGATTAAATGTAATGACATGTATAGCACTGCTTGGTAAAATCCAAGGGGGCAAATAAACGAGAAGACAAGAAAACAGAAAACGAGAGACAAGATGATTCTTTACGAATCCAGGATTTAAGATAGAAGGGGATGTTGGCATCACATTAAATGAGTTTCAGAGGAGACCTGGGTTGTGACACATGAATGCAATATCGAAACTACAGGTGGACCCAGCGTGTCCCTGGCAACTCTGGTGACCAAGGAGACACGGCTGATGGTGCCTTCATTAAGTGATAACTGTATACCTGCCATCACTCTGAGCACTTTATGCGGATTATCTTGTTCAACCTGACAATTACCCCATGGGAGAATAATATAGTCATCCCCATTTTACAGATGAGAAAGCAAACTAAAGCCTAGGGAGTTTAATTCATCATCAAGTGGGATTCCCTGAGCACTGCCTTTTCTTTTCAACAGACTGTTGAACAAGAGGATAAAAGCATCAGGAAGTACAAGTGGAGCCTTTATTCAGCAGGACTGAAAGGGTGAGTTGGAGAGAGGTGAAGCTGAAAAGTGGGGGTGGAAGGGAGTTACAGACACGGAAAAAGCCTGCAAGAATCCCAGTGTGAAAGACCAAAGGGGAATTCTTTCTAATGCAAGACAAAAAGTAGCCTGTGTGCACTTTGGAGGTCAGTAGGAAGCGGGGAGAATGTAATTGTTAGGAAATCAGTGGAGACAGAGGCATTTTCCCAGCCTGCCCAGTGCACCAGCTGCACTGATGGGCAATGTTCTCATTCGTGAAGCGCGACCTGCCACTGTGACAATTGAGGGCTGGGGTGAGGGCATGGTGATGAAGCCACCGCCATCCCCAAAGCTTCATGCCACCTCTGAGCATTCAGCGCCATTCCTGCGAGCAATGGCAGGAAGAAACAGCTCGAGCTCGCCGTCACCGCCAGATTGCTAATGAAAACCAGAACGTCTGCAAACAAAACCTGCAGCTCCCCCGCAGTGAAGGCAGAGGAGGACACATTCGCAGGAGCTCTGTTGGCTGGGAATGGGCTTTCCCAGCTCGGGGTCCCTGGCTGGATGGTTGTGGAAGGAATCGACCAAAATGAGATCTATAAATCCTGACAATGTCATTGCAGCTCTGTATTTTTCATCTTCTGAACCAATAAATCATTGATTGTCAGTTGGGACCTTTTACATTCTGAATGCAGACAAGAGACTTCAGAGACTACCTGCAGATCTTTATGGATGGGAAACAAATCTACACAACCAGAGTAAAAGATGGGAAATCCATGGCACAAATGCAAAACTACCAGGTTCTGGTAGACAGAGCCAGACAGAGACGGGTGGGTTGGTTTGTTCCGTTGAGGGAAGGCCAACAGAAACCACTTTACCGATGGTGATTTGAAGACACAGCAAACAATCTCAAGGTTATTATTATTTTTTTTTTAATCAAACACAAACATTGTCCATCAATTAGCCAATTCATGCAGACTTTCCGGTAAAACATATTCTACTGAGAATAAGCAGAGTTACAAGGCTTTGGCATTTTAAGAGACAGTCAATAAATGGCAAGATGTTAGACTTCATCTTAATCCCCTTAGCAAGGAGCCAGGCACTTCAGAACCAGCACCCTGCAGCATGAACATATGGGAGGGTGTGTTTCAATCAACAAACACTGCCTTGACATTCAACTGCGGTAGGCAAATGGCAGACACCATCAGCGTCCAGGGGACGCCTAAGCAGAGTGATAAAGAGACAGGCCTGGGGCAAAGCTGGACACTGAAATGCTAGGGGACCTTGAGCCTAAGAGGGAGCAAGGGAAGCCCTGACTCCATCGAACAGGTCCCTTGGCTGCCACTGCTGCGTGTGGCCTGGCTGTGGGGCCGTGAGCAGTGGCTCTGCGTGTGCAGCTGGTCCCCCCCCCATGGCCTGGGGCTGACTAGATGGGGGCAGAGTCCTCCCAGGAGGAGGGCACTTCCCATGGCTGTCACCAGCAGCCAGCAGGACACGAGTGGAAAAGACAGACGCCGAGGCCTTTGTCCCGGGCTCAACACCCAGCTCCTCACAACCCTGAGTGCAGGCAAGAGGAGGCGCCAACAGCACAGTGATGACAGTAACGACCCCGCTGCCCTTCACGCCACTGTGCCCCGGGCACCAGGCACTGGCTGAGACAGTCACGCAGGAGATTCGGTTCTCACATGACTCTGCAATGCAGGTCATTTCCCCTTAATACGACGAAGAAAGAGAAGCTTAGTGAGATTAAAGGAACGTGCCAGAGTCTGAAAGTACTGTCCTAAGGGGTACAGGTAGCCCTGTCCCCAGAGAGCCAACCCTGCCCCAGGGAGCAGGCACCTCATGACACAAATGGGCTTCTCCTGTGCCCTACGGTGACTAAATAAACCTGAACTTAGTCAGATTTGAAAAAGTAATAAATGTCAAAAGGCAAAACCAACCTGCTTCACTGATGGGGAGCTTGTCTTCAAAACCACCATTCAAAACAGAACTGCCCCTTGGGAGGCTGGGGCAGGAGGATCACCAAGAGTTGGAGGCCAGCCTGGGCTACACAGTGAGTTCAAGGCCAGCCTGAATTACCTAGCAAAACTGTCTCAAAAATAAGGTAAAGAATACAATAGAGCTGCGAAGTGTCTACTCCTGGAACATCCATAGACAACTGGATCCATATAAGAAAACTAACTTCCATTTCTAGCCGGGTTGGAAATTTTTGTATCTAGTTCCCATGATAACATAAATTAATTTCTGGATCCTAGTATAACTCAGAGTAGACCTGATCCTGAAACAATACAGCACGATACAGTAAGTGGCTGACAACCTCCTACAGAAAATGCTCTTGCTGCTCAAAAAAGAATAATATTTTACATATGGAAGAATCTGCTTTAAACCACGGACTTACAGATGAATATGCTTTTAAATCGGGGAATTCTAATTTATTGTAGCTTCTTTTTTGTGTGTTCATTGTAAGCAGAAGAAAGGCCATCATGCTAAAGGTTTATGATATCGTCACTGAATGCCAGTCTTCTAGGATTCTGTTGCCTTTGTCCAAGGTCTTCATGTCCTGGGGGATTTGTATAGGATGGACAGGGCCAGCTCAGCATGACCAATGGGACATTCCATGCACAACATTTATGGGAAACGCCTGCTTAGCGTGCTCCTGAGACAGCTGCCGCGTGCACCGCTGTGACTGTGGCATGGTCCCCAGGAATCACGGGGACCCGCAGTTGCCCGGAGCCGATGGCATCCACCAAGTGGCTCCCTTTAAGCCAAGCCCAGACTGTTCTGCTCCTGGAGAGCACGGACTCCATATCTAACCTCCTTGCAACAAAAATAGCCCGGCGATTGCTACCACTTCCAGGATGGGCAAGGCACGGCGGGCGAGCATTGGGCAAGAGGCTAACAAGGTGGGGACTCGGGGCCGTAGCTGCCCCATCTGGATGCCTGCGCCCTTCCTCGAAGAGCAGAATGAAGTGTGAGGGAGGGTGGCCTCGCTTATGGGCGGGGGAGGAATTCTTAATGAAAACGGCAAGAATCCAAGTGGTCCTCCTAGTGGTCCTGAGTGGCACATGAAACGAACAGGGAAGAAATATCATCTGCTGGGGATCCCAAAAGGCCATTTAGGTCTGACCGTGCGCAACTGGTGTCCAAAACAAAGGGACAGGCCCGAGGCTGCATCGCTTGCGGAGCCCTGGAAGCTGGGCTGCTGGAGACAGAGCATCCCTCTCCTCCTGCGCGGGGACCACCGTGTTTCAGGCCGAGCCTCTCTCTGGGAGTCTCAGCAGCTCTGGCCCAGTGCTCATCACTTCCTCCTCCTCCTCCATCTCTGGGCGTCTGCAGCATGACACTCCCGAGTTCCCCACCAGCTTCCCGGCGGCGGCTGCCCCTCCTCGCCTGCTACTTCTTACACTTCTTCCTCTCTTGGTGTTGGGGTGACTCGGTGCTTTGCCCTTGTCTCCGCTCTCCACCCTGTCTCCCGGGATGAGCTCACGCAGTCTCCTGCCACAGAGATGCTGGCAAAGCCGACAACTCCAGAGCCGCTGCTGCCCTCCAGGGTCTCCCTTGAGCTCCTGACTCAGATCCAACCCCGGAACGTGCAGGTACAGCAGGCATCTCCACCCCAGCACGTCCCCAGCACATTCCTGAGCTTCTCCGGAACCCACTGGCCACCTCCTCTCCATCGACGGCCTCTCCACCCTTCAGCTCAGGCCAACACGTGGTAATTCTTTTTGTTTTTTTTTTTTTTGGTACCGGGGATCGAACTTGGGACCTTGCGTTTGTGGGGCAAGTGGTGGAACCACTGAGCTAAGTCCCTGGCCCTACACGGGGTAATTCTTGATGCCTCTTCCTCGAACGCCCTGTGTCCAGTCTGTCAGGAAATTCTCCTGCTTACACCTTCCAGATCTGTGTGAAGTCTATCCAGGGTGTGACCATTCTTCAGCAGGTCATTGGCTGCCTGTCACACTCGCTCTCTTCCTCTGTCAAACTCGGACAGGGCTCCTTGCACATCCTCGAAAGCAGTTCTCAACAGGGAAGCCACAGTGCTCCCGGTAAAGTGTAAGTCTGTTCATGTCACTCCTCACGACAGGCAGTTTCTCGCATTCCTGCAGACTGGAAGCCAGAAGCTGGTGGTAGCCTACAGGGCCCTTCTCAGGTTCCCACGCCCCGTTCCCCTCCACCAGCTCCCTGTTGATCTCTCCCCAGGCACTCCAGCCTAGGGTGCATCCTCATCTGAGGGGTTTTCCAGTGGATGTTCCCATGGACGATCAACCTGCCCCTCAAACGCAAATGGCAACACCTTTACCTCCTTAGCATCTCTGTCCAAATGTCACATTCCTCTTGAAGCTCACACCACACCTTTTAAAATCACACCCCTCACGGAGCATGAACCCTAGCCCACCTGCCTTTTAATTTCTCCCGCAGCACTTTCCAGCTCTAACACACTCTGTGATTCACTTGTTTTATCTAGGCATTGTTCATTATTGTCTGTCTTCCCACACCCCTCCCTTGGAATGCAAGTTCCACAAAGGTAAGGATCTTTGTTTTGTTATCTGCCCTCTGCCGAGGGCCTCGAACTCCGCCTAGCACTTACTACTTGCTTGCTATCTATTTCTGGAAGTAATAAATGAATGGCTTGGCTGCCGATGCTAAAATGGGATCCTTGGAATTCCAGGTCTCATGGTTTAATCTGCAATATGAAGCTATCTTTCTCATTGATTTGGATAGTTCTTGAGATTGTTTTATAGGCACTCCCCTTAATTATAAGAGATCTGCGAACTATTAGGAAATGAGACTCATTGTTCTCTGACAATGTTCTTGAGTAACAAGTTCCTGAATTCAACTGATGACACAGTTTGCCAAGCTATACACCCCAGCAAGGACACCAGGAACTTCTGATCGCAAACTTCAGTCCCTGGCTTTTAGTACTGAGAACCAGACCCAAAAGAAAAACTAATGCAAGAGTCCTGCTGACACAGCTAAGCATGTTACTGTGCCAACATAGTTTTTAAATCTTTCAAAATGTACGTTAATGAAATAAAGTGAGTTTACATACACTGTAAAATATACAGTATGTATACAATATAAAGCCTTCCTTGACAATCACCTAATCCCTCTATCCTTCCCCTGGGTCCTATTTCTATTCACTCACTCTTTTTATTCAACTTAATGACTACCTGCTGAGTTCAGAATACTGTTCCAACTGCTAAGGACACAGTAATAAGACAGATACAGAGGTCCATACCTGGTATTTTCAGTCATCCCCAGCTCCATACACAATAATAGCCGACATTTATTTAGCATGTACCAAGTGTTTTCCACGTATTAAACCATTTATTCATACTACTACCAAACAGCGGTGCAATGAGTCTCCTCATTTTATAGACAAAGGATATCAAAGCACAGAGAGTTGCGATTGCTGCCCAAGCTCCTGTCTCGGCTAAATAGCAAAGCCAAGAGGGCCCCCATCTCCGAGTCCTCTCTGGTCCTGCCGTCCTGCTGTCCCGCCAGCCCTGTGATCCCAAATCCACAGGCTCCACCTCCACTGCCACCCTCGGCGCCTGAGCACACCGCTCTTGCACAAGGACCAAATCAAATTCAGTGGTTAGGTTCAATGTTGACCTTTTGGGGAAATCTGATTGGTTCTTGTCCAATTCGGTTTGCAACCAGAATCGTGGAGAGAATTGTTTGTGCGCTGAGGTACCACTGTATAAACCTGAACATGTGTGAAATGTTTTATATTACTCATCGCTAGGTTGCTTTTTGTTGACAAAGACCTAAATGTCCATTAATAGGGCCCCCTTAAATAAATTATCATACATAAAATAATGCAAAAATGCATTACTTTCTTTGTGCCTAATAATGAACTATTATAAGCACTATTTTAGATCAGAAAAACTAAAGCTTAGGAAGCTTAATTCACTCACCAGGTTCTTAGTTTCTATGTTTACTATATATGGGATCCTATATTCTCCCATAGCAGAATACTATGCAGCCATCCAAAATGGACTGAACTCCAAGATCAGTGAAAAGGGTAGAACAGATTGGTAAAGTTGAACCTCTCTGAGCCGGGGATTTTTCTTTTTAAGAAAGCAAATCCATTTGTTCGTGTGCCTCCACACAGAGACGTAAGAAACAGTGGGGACTTGTGGAAGAAAGAGAAGCTTCGCTGGAAAGGGAAGGTAGAGGTGGCTCAGGAGAGGGTAGGAGGAGACTTGTATTTCCCTGCATACTCTTTCATGCCTTTGGAGTTTTGTTGCATATGCACAAACACACACATACTGCCTACCCAAAGAATCGAGCAATTAAAAACCAATGGACTGCTAGGCTGAGGTTCTTCCAGAAGGAAAAAGAGTATGACCCATCACTGTCATCCCATCTGTTGTATTTTCTTCATATATCTAATAGTGAACAGCTTCTTAGTGAGTCAGCATCTAAAATCATTTGGATTTCTGTGTGGCTGGGAGGTGGTGTGTGTTTATCACACTTGGTGTGTAAGCTCACTGCACTCCGCTGAACTGTGTGCTCCGTGGGGAACGACTGTGTGTGAACAGCTGAGCCTCAGCCGCGGTATTCTGCATACGAACCTGTGCACGCAACTCTAAATGAATGAATGAACGAAAGAAAAGTGACTAGGAACTGAGGGCTGAGACCACCAGAATTTAGACAGTAAGAATCTCCTGCACCAAAACTTTGGACCAACAAGGAAGTTTCCTAGCATGCAAAATTAAGTTCTCAGTCCAAAGAATACTACTAATCCCCAGGTTCAAAGTTGAGATTCTCACTAAGCAATAGTCCCAAAGGCAAGATTATTAAACAAAATATAGATTTTGTGGAGATAGGAAAGGGAGCTAAGGATGGAAGGAGATGGGAGGGAAAGATGAGGAAAGGAAAGGAAAAAGGATCAAGCTGTGATATGTGTATGTACCAATTTCCCACAATGAATGTATTTATCATGCATCACAAACATATACTATAAAAAAAAGAAATAGCGCAAGCCTTAAAAAGAACGAGACAGATTTAGAAACTATATGGGCAGCTAAAAAAATTTCAGTCATTATTTAAGTAATTTAGTGTTATAAAAATTATCAGTGATTTAATAAACAGAAAATTCCCTCTTTGAGCCTGGACATAGGACCCAACAATTCTACCTCTATATATAACCAAAAGAACTTAAAACAAGAGCACAAAGAGATATTTGTATAATCATGTTCATAAAAGCATTATCCACAATAGCCAAAAGGTAGCAACTCAAGTGTCCATCAGTGAATAATAAAGAAATGTGGGATATACCTATGGTGGAGTATTACTTAGCCCTGAAAAGGAAAGGCATTCTGCCACATGCTATAACATGGAAACTTGTAACATGGGAAAACTTTACGGACATTATGTTAAATGAAATAAACTAAACACAGAAGGGCAAATACTAATATGATTCACTTATGAGTTAGAGTTGTCAAGTTCACAGACAGAGGAGGTCTAGTGATAGATACCAGAGGGAAGGATGCGTGGGGAATTATCTAATACATATATATATGGATATTCAATTTTTTCAAGATGAAAAGAGTTCTGGAGATGGGTGGTGACAGCTATACAACAATATGAATATAGTTAATATTAAAAAACTGTACACTTAGGGGGCGGGGATTTAGCTCAGTGGTTTCGCCGCCTGCTGCGCAAGTGCAAGGACCGAAGTTCGATCCCCGGTACCAAAAAAAACCCCCCCAAAACTGTACACTTAAAAATGGTTAAGCCGGGGCCGGAGATTTAGCTCAGTGGTTCTGCCGCCTGCCTCGCAAGTGCAAAGTCCTGAGTTTGATCCCTGGTACCAAAAAAAAAAAAGTTTAAGCCAGTAAATTTTATGTGTCTTTAACCACAAGTTAAATTTTTTGAAAGCTAAAAGCTTGAGAGCTCCAAGATACACTGAACTTAAAGGGGAAAAAAAAGTTTCAGGCAAACGCATAAAAATAGGCTCATTCTGTATAAACAAATGCAAAGCCACAGGCGGAGAACGGAGACTGCCGCTTCTGCTTCTGTCGCCTCTGGGATGCAGGGGGAGACGAGCGCCTGTCTATGCAGCACTGCCGCCTCGGTACTGGCTGGATCTGGTACAGAAGAACACACCTGTCGTCACTGGCTTCCGGGGGAGCCACAAACGGGCGCCTCGGAGCCGCGGAAGTCATCTTCCAAGTCTGGGAGCAGATCTGAAATCACGATCGCCGCTCGCTCGAGCTGGAAATGCAGGCATGGTGGGCGTCCCGCGGGGGCTCCGCGCAGAGCCTGTCCTTGTCCCTCCCAGCTGTGCGATGGCAGCATCCTCGGTGACCTTCGCCTCTGATGGCACGGGGCATTCTCGCGGCCTCCACTCTCCACGCGGCCCTCTTCTCCTCTTCTGAGGCCGCGAGCAGCCTTGGACGAGGGCCACCCCCGTGACCTCAACTTAACCCGATTTTCCGCCCACCGGACAGCGCTTCCAAACAAGGTCGCATCCACAGCCACTGAAGATTAGGACGTCAACACTTCGGGGGCAACAACGCAACTCCACCTATGGCAGTATTCCTCTAAAAACAGCTCCAAAGACTAATGGGTGTGGTGGCTCACGCCCGTAATCCCAGCCACTCGGGATGCTGAGCCAGGAGGGCCACAAGCTCAAACTCAGCCTGGAGACTTAGCAGGACCCTTTCTCAAGAAAGAATAAAAAGGGCTGGGGCTGGGGCTGAGTGGTACAGGGCTTGCCTGGCACATACGAGGTTCGACCCCATTACCCCGTCAGCGTCCCCAAAGACAAAAACGCAAAAACCCCAAGTTAAGTCTCTCTGACCACTATACTCCGGAGCGAGTTAAATTTAGTATGAAGTGCTCGTAATAGCAAGTGCGCGGTCCCCACAGAATCCTCCTGTGATCTTGCCCAGAGGCTGCCCTGGGGGGTTGTTCTTTGCTTGTGACAGCATACGACCACCTTTCGGGATGCAGTCCCAGCTGCTGTGGGACCCTGGTGTGGGGTCTCCAAGCAACGTCACTGGACCGTCAGGGCCAAACGCCTGTCCCTTCCCGCGCTGCCCAGGGGAGGGGTGCGGGGCTGGCCTCAGCCGCCGGCCTCCTACTTGCAGCGATCAGGGCCCTATATTTGGATTTTGATCCCGGCCTGACTTACTGCTAAATCTGTATCCAGTTAATATTACAGAGTTGTGGGGGAGGAGTCACATTGCTATGGCAACCCAACAACTCGGGGCTGGAGACAGCAGAGGAAATGGGATTTCAGGCCCAAGACCACTGGAAGACTCCGAATCCTCATTTCTGCCTTTGTGTGGCAGAAATGGATCTTGATATGCAAAAATAAACAGACCTCTTTTCTCTCTCTCTCTGTTTTTCACAAATTTCCAACCACTGACAAAAATAAAAGCTTGCTGTACAAGTACTCTATTCACATGTCGTCTCCTAACAGGACAGAATCGAAAACTCACACTCCATTCAGCAAGTCAGGATGTCAGCTGATTTCCTTTGAAACTCTCTCCCAGCATGAAACGAGCAATTGTCTCGTGTGGATTTTATACATAATATTACTTTCTGACCTGCAATTTACAAATACATTGACAGACACAAATAGAACTTGGGCCCTCTCATTGCTAGCGGTTTAGGAGCCGGCAGAGGGCAGAGCGGGTGGAAGAAATCGCCTATGAACCCAGGGACCTTATCTTCCACTGACTTCTGCCACCCAACAGGGTCCAGAGCCACCAGCAAAAGTACAGTGGCTCCTCAGGTTTTCCGTCTTTGTTTTCCCGCCCACACTCTGGAGGAGCATTTATGGACTCTCCCTGAAGATAAGTAGTTAAGAGTCCAACAAGCACAAGCCAGAGCTGAACTTCGAGGCTTTGCTGGGTATTCAGCAGATCTGGAATTCACCAGAGGCCAGGAGCGCCCTGGGGCCGGGTGGGGGAGTCCAGGATTAGATTGGCCAGGGGGCTCCAAAGGTACAGTCGGCGAGGGTGGTGGCGGTGGTTGTGTTTTTATTGGTTTTTGTTTTGTTTTGTGCAGTACTGGGCTTTCACCCCCAGCCCTTTTTATTTTTTATCTTGAGACAGGGACTCAATAATTGCTAAGTTGCCCAGGCTGGGGTTGAACTTATGATCCTCCTGCCTCAGCCTCTCAGACTGCTGGTACAGTCTGGGTTTTGGAAAAGATATGCTGGGTTGGGCTGGAGATTTAGCCCAGTGGCACTGTGCTGCCTGCCTTGCAAGTGCAAGGTCCTGAGTTTGATCTTTGGTACCCCCCAAAAAAGATATCCTGGGTTAATCTTGGATCTGACCTCATAAGACAGGAGTTTAGGCAAATTTTCTTTCTTACAAAGTCAGGGGCTGTGGGTATGGATCAGTAGGCCACTTACCTAGCATGCATGAGGCTCTGGGTTCAATTCCTAGCACCATAAAAAAAATCAGAAACACTCTTACAAGTGATTTTTAAAAATTAACTTCTGCCATTTTTACCTCTTTTCCCAAGACAGCTGAACTAGAAAAATTTAGAGAGTAAAATTTGTTAACTTGGGGTCTATAGTGAGAAGGTAAAAAAGCAATGATTCTTATAATTATGTAATGTCCCTGAATTTTTAAGGGACTAACCATTGCTTAGAAGGACACAATTAAATTATATGGATAAACCAATCAGAGAAATAAGATGTAATGGGGAAAAACTTTGGAGTGAGGATCAGAAGATTCAAGTCCTTTTCTTGGTTCTGCTGGTTAACCAGCCAAACCCAGTGGTACCTCTGCATTGTTCCCCGTTCACTGGTTCGGGAAGGCAGGATAAGTACCAAAAATGGCCAAATTGAACACATTGTTTTTGGAAAAGGCGGCGAGTCACAAGGGAATCAACACCAAGTTCCAGGTGTGTGTCATGTTGCAGACAGAGGACACGTACTGGGACAAAATGCATCCGTATGCGTCAAGTACTAACTGTGGCAAGTTTCAAAGCAGCCGTACATACAAGTACCTCAATCCCGGACAACCTCTTCAGAGCTCTCAAATGGGTGTGATAATGACTGCCGTCCTGGCCTCGATGATTCTAAAGAGGAAACGAAGCCATGTGCATGGAGGAGTTCTACAGACTGCTGAGTACAGGCTGGTGATGGTGTCCCCTACTCTGTTTGAATGCAGCTTTGCTGAATGGAAAGAGCGGACTTGGGCTTTGTTGGTCCTTCAGTTTCCATTGGAATTCCTTCTTTCCAGCAGCTACAACATGTGCTCACCAAATATGCACATAGATTTTGACCAATTTTCCATAAGCAAGTGTCAGAAAGAGCTGTTCACCTTGGAAAATCAAAGCAGTCGGAAAGCAGCAAGGCAGGGCCAGGGACAGAGCCTGGACAGCGCGCTCCTCCTAACAGGCACCTTGCTGAGAGCTCTCAGGCCAGCGCTTCCTGCTGCAGTCCACAGCACTGACACTAAATTAGAACCAGTGACCATCTCAATGGGCAATGGAGAGCCGTTAAAATACAGATCAGCCCGAAAGAAATACAGCAACCTGTGGAAAAGGAAATTCCCAGGGTGAGGAGATAAACTCTAACATCTGATATTTCGTGTGTTAATGACTCTGCAACAGGGGCTAAAAGATGTTAAAAGCACAGCTACTGGCGGGCGTGGTGATGCACATCTGTTATTCCATCGCTCAGGAGGCTGATGCAAGAGGATCGCTGTGAGTTCGAGGCCAGCCTGGGCTACACAGTGAGACCGAGTCTCCAGAAAAAAAGTACAGCTACTGACTTTCCTGATCTCCTAGGACTGAGGGTCTGAAGGTCAAGTAACTCAGACACCCGACACCCACACCCACACCTAGCCATACTGCTGCTCTCCAGTAAGCAGAGCCCGTGGTTCATGTGAAGTCCTGGTCAGGAGCTAACCACGGACTCTGCTTATGGTGCCTCATAAGCAACTGCAAGTTTTTAAGCAGAAGCCACAAGACATCAAACTGGAGTGGTATAATGAGCAGGTACAATGTACGGAGGGGTAAACAGGGAAGGAAAGGTATGGCAAGAGTAGACCATTAACCAGGGGCTGAACTTTCCCAATAAACAAAGCTGCAAAGAGGAACTCAAATGGCTTTCATTTTTTTTAAAAAAAGTATTTTACTATAAAGCTCTATTTCTTAGGCACTTGCTGAGTACATTTCAGACTGCTAACTGCCTAAATATGGGTCCCTTTGTCTAAGCAGACTTACTGGGGATTTGTCTAGGTAGGATGGATTTTTAAAGTGTGAAGGATTTAACATTTCGGTGAATCACAGTTTGTCAATAAACAAATCCCACCTGGGCTCACAAACAAATCAGAATGCTTTTGCAGGTCCCGGAAGGGAACTTGCTCTTGCTATTTTCCCACAGAACTTTGGGGCAGCTAATTTCAGGAAGGCAATGTTTACATTATGTTTCCTACAACCTCACACCTAGCGCAGGAAGACTAACGACAGTGTCACGGGGGCATGAATGTGGGAGTAATTGCTCAGCAAGTCAGAGAGCTTTCCATCTGAAATCCAGGCGACAGCAGGAAAGCCGGTTCCTCCAACTGCCAAAATTACGTCTCACTGGAGTCAAGTTTACAGAAATATTTATAGAAATAGCAAAATACTGTTATTGGCAGTTTCAGGGGCTGCCTAACCTCCTGAAAACCTTTTTTGGGGGGCATGGGTGAGAGGGTTGAAAAGA